TGATGATGGTCCAGTGAGTCCACCTGCCTGGTCCGGGGGGGCAATTTGATTGCACAGCAGAAGTCCATTCTGGTTGTTCTCCAAAGGCCTCACTCAGTCCTGGCTCAACAGCCCCCGGATAGCTTTGGGAGCATGGAGAGCAGGCACTAGCAAAGCAGGGATTCCTGACCGGGGGGGAGGGAAGGGGAGTGGGGAAGGACATCATTCAGCGGAATTGCTCCCTGTGAATAGGGAAAGTCATCGCTGGTTGCTCCTGACCCTTCTTCCTGCCCTCCGCCTTCATACTCTGACAGAATGAGCTAGCGTCTAGTCCGACTAGTGCCTCAGCTCCAGCTGTTGGATAAATTCTAGTGGCCGCACCACCTGTTCCACCCCAGGGCCTTCTACTAAGAGGGGGGCAGCACTTCAGGGCGTAGCAGATCTTAGCCAGCATGAGCTAGTCACGGTGGTAAGACACGAGCCAGACGGAAGCCAGCTCAAATCTGCTCCACTGCCACTGTAGTATGGAAGATGCAAACCATAGATATGCAAACGCAGAGGCAGAACTCAGGGACTCGCTGTACATTTCAGAAGCAGAGAGACTTGGATTTGGAACAGCAGTAAAAAACAACTGAATTTTCAAAGTCCCAGGTAACACCCACTCTTCTGTAAAGGCCAGTTATAAGTCTGGGCACGCCTCATGCTCTATCCTAAGCTGTAGCCTTCACCAGCACTGAGTCCTACCTGAATCCAACCTTCCGACGCCTGGAGAGCAAATTTACAGTCCCTGGGGTTTATGCCTCTTTTAGTTTCAACCAATCAGCCCTTTCCAGCTTCTTTCTTTTTAACACGTTTTTATTTTATCTGAATTATTAAAAGAGTTTTCCTCTTTAATATTCTGATGTAGAAGTTTGTCAGCAAAACCCCCCCCCCCCCCAGCCCCCCCCCCAAGGGTGCCATAGGATGAATAAAAACAAACCATTATCTAACACTGGGCTGTTTTCCACCCCCTGACAGAGAAGAGGCAATGGTACAGTCTCAGCCCCAGGCAGTGCTGGGAGAGGGTATAAATACCAGTGCTCGCACTAGCCACTTTACAGAGGAGTGGACCGGTGGGAAGGAAACAGCAATGGCTTCCCTGTGGGTCTAGACTAGTGGAAGCTTTGGCCTGGAAAAACACTGTTTCTCTAGGGAAGAGTCTCCTCTTTGTAACTCAAGGAGGAAGAAAGAAGTCAGCTTTGCAACTGGGTTTTCCAGTTCTATCTTCCCCCTAGGGCTTTACATGTAGTCTCAGTGAAATGTGTAATAATCTGTTGCTTGGGTTCTCGCAGTGCGGGGGCAGGTTTCTGTCTTTCTCTGAGCCTGATGAGTGGGGCCAACTCTAGGATGTGGGGGCAACCTCCAGTCTGCTCCACGCGCTGTCCCCGCTCTGCCCTACTCCACTCCTTTCTCCCCCATTGCACCCTTTTTCCAAAACCCCCTCCTGCAAGCAATGCCACCCAGGGGGGAAGGGGGCAGGGAGCTGGTTCTGGGAGCTGCAGGAAGCTGAGCAACCCAGCAGCCTGCTCCACTCTCTGCCCCTCGCCCAGCCGGGTTGCTCCACTTACCCACGGCGGCAGGAAGCAGAACCCAGCCCCAGCCCGCTTTGCTCCGCTCCCCCAGATCCTGCATCACTTAGGGGAGCAGGCCGGGGCTGGGGCAGTCTGCTTCCCGCCAGAGCAACTCGGCTGGGAGATGGCGGAGCAGGCTCCTGCATCGCTCAACTTCCCCCAGCTCCTGCCACCGCGGTGAGTACTGGGGAAACCAACCTCCGCTTCTAGCCCCACCCCTCCAGGCAACTTCACAGCCCACCCCAGGCCCTGCGGCTAACCGCAATATAGAATCATAGGACACTGGACTTGGAAGGGATCTCGAGAGATCAAGTCTAGTCCCGGCAGGACCAAGCATGGTCTAGATCAATGGTCACCAACGGGCTCTACCAGCAGATCTTGGAGCCTCGACAGGGGATCCTGACTGGTTTGGCCGGGAAGCTCTCAAGTACCGACACTCAGGAGCGGCCCGAGGCCGACTGCGGCAGCTGGCGCCCCAGGCGGAAGGCACGATCGGCGCCCCTGCCTACACGGCCACCACGTCATCATCGGGCGCCTGGGCCGGCGGCACCCTCGGCAACTGCCTAGTTTGCCTAGGCTCACGGGCCGCCCCTGCTGGCACTTCAGTTGCCCCTCCACCCGCTGTCACGCTGCTCCTGTCCTCTGCCTTGGCGCTGCCCCTTGCTGCTGTGCAGAGTGTGGGAGGGAGAAGGGGGGGTGCTGATGCCAGGGTGCCCCTCCTCCCCCAATCCTGTACCCCATCTCCATACAGAGAGAAGGGGATGGAGGGAGCTTGGCAATGGAAATCTCTGTCACTCTCACGCTCCTCTCCCGAGCCCACACGTACACGGGGGTTGGGACTCCTTTTGCCGCTTGCCGAGTAGGTTAGTTTTCCTTTTGGACGGGTCTGTGCATTTCATAACTTGCATTTCTCTTATGCCTAAATGTAATTCTTCGAGTAGTAAAATGCCTAACCTGTCCTGCGTGGAGTGATTATCCCTGTGGCTAGTTGTGCTCCTGGAGGTGGCTGGCATGTCCCTGCAGCCCCCTGAGAAAGACAGAGCGGGGGTTCTCCACCTGCTCCTGCAGCTCCCATTCATCAGTAATGGAGAATGTGGCCAGTGGGGTCAGTGCCTGTGGATGAGGGGCAGCACATGGAGCCATTGCTGTACATGCCCACTGCTTTGGGGGGGGGCAACTGGCATCAGTTCTGGGGAACACATGGTGGCAAGTTCAAGCCCCATCCCCACCCTGGGAGCAACCAGACACAGGACAAGGGGACTCCCCAAAGGCAGGAGGGTGGGGTCAGCTCGAGTGGACCAGGAGGACAGGGTTGTGGGTTGGAATCCCCAAGCACCCACCCCAAGAGCAGCCGATACAGAACCCACCCACGGTAGGGCTGCCCCATGGTTTCAACACAAATACTTGACATTACATCACGCTCTACATGACATCGTATTTAGAAAATACCAGACATTTCTATTTCCTCAGTTTGTTTCCCAAACAGGAAGGTGGCATGGTCTCAGCTCCCCCCCACTTCCCAACCCCCAGGACATCCCCCCTCCTGCCTCCCTCATGCCAGAGGCTGCTCCATCCCTGGGGAAGTGGTGCCACGTGTAGAGCCCTGCATAAACCCAAACCGCTCCGCGGGCCCCAAACAAAAGGGCCACGTAGCCCAGACCCACAGATTAATTTCTTGGACACACGCCGCAGATGTTTCTTAATACGACTGTACGTCTGTCTGGCCCCTTGTGCTACTGCCGGTGGGTCGACGCTTTCACACAAGTGCTTTAAAACTAGGGGGCACCCTCAGTTGTCCAAGGATTGTTGGGACACCCCAAACCTTTGAAAACTGGAGGGTGGGGATGCTGGGGACTTTAAAGCTCAGGTTCACTTGAGTTTCTAAGTGCCTGCAGCTACTTGCAAGCAGCAGTTTCGTCAACAGCGCTGGCAGCTTGTGCTGCTTTTGATCACGCACGAGCAATGCCTGGACGTTCACACTTGCCCTTTGACTTGGTGCCGGGACCAGCGCTGTCACACAAGGGGACTTGCTCTGCTCCCTTCACGCCAAGAGCCCCGCAGCCCTGTGTGTGTGTGTGTGTGGGGGGGGGGTTAATGCAGACTAGGGATATCAACGTGTAGTCAATGATTAACTAATAAGCCTGGCCTTATCTGTAATCCTGTCACCTACACACACTTCCCCTCACCTTTGCTGCCTCAGATAGGGCCCCCCACAGACAGAGGCTGCTGCTGCCTCTGCATCAGAAGCAGCAGCGCAGTGGCAGGGGGCTCCCCGGGGTGGGAGCTGGAGCGCACTGGCTGCCAGCCCCACCCCCGGGGACTATTGAATAGTCACATAACCACTAAAATCTGATGTGGTTACACAATTATTCAATTACACACTCACATCTACCGTGGCCAGGGGCTGCTCCGGCCGCACTGGAGCACCTGTGCAGCAGGTCCTGCAGGGCTAGAGCAGGCCCCTCCCCCTGGCAGGCAGGGAGCTGCTCCAGCCCCGCCCCTCCCGGTTAACCAGAACCGGAAAGCATCACCCTTTCACATCCCTAATGCAGACAAATCCGGGGTTTGGTTTTTCCATCAGACGTTGCACACTGACACCCCCTTCTGCACCACACAAGCAGGGGGATCTCCTGTCTCTGTTTTCTACTGACCGTTCTCTCGGGGGGAGGATCTCTTCCCACATTCCGGCATTTTTATAACCTGCGCCCCTCCTTGCCTCAGGGATAATATGCCACAGAGCGAGTGGCACTTCAGAATTCTATACTCGCGTCTCATCCCCAGAGGGTGCTGGAGAAGCGCTGGGCAGCAGGTAAGGTGCTGGTTCGGAAGTGCAGGGGGGACACGAAAGGGGTGCATCACGCTGTGCTGGACTGGGGATTGATAATACTTAGCGCTTGCTCTGTAGCTCTCCCAGCACTCCCCAAAGGCCGGCAAGCACAACTATCCCCATTTCTCAAAGGGCGAAACTGAGGCACGGAGTGAGGTGAAGGTTGAAACTTACAGGAGTGACCACCAACATTTTTTTTTAGATGAGACACCATAGGCCCCCCCGAGCATCCACCCCTCAGCACCTCTGAGAGTCGTGCTCCAGGCATTTCAGTTGCCTATTTTAGGGGAACTTTAGCCTAAGCAACACACCCAAGGTGATACAGCAGATCACTGGCAGAGCCAGAAATAGAACCCAGGAGTGCCAGCCTCACCCCATCCATTAGGCCATGCTGTCTCCCCATAGGTAACGGCAATCAGGACAGGTCCTAGGGGTAGCAATATGACCAGTGAGGGCCCTTCCCACCCTGGCAAGAAAGCGAGAACATACAGAAAGAGGAATAAATTACCTACAATTTATTTCAAAAATATCTTTGAGTCCCCCAGGAGTTCTGGGAATGATTTTCTCAGGAATTTGAGTCTCACTGTTCCTACAGCATATGAGATGGCTGCTGCCTTCCACACTCTGTGCGTTCCACCAGCAGCGAGGAGGGGAACCCGTCCTCCCCGGGCAGGCTCGTCACCAAGACCACAGACCTACACAGCTTGCAATGAAACTAAGTGCTGCTTTCTCCAGACTGTGTTGAATTCCTGCCCTTCCAGTCAGACGCTCTCGCCAATTTCTTCGTCGGAGCTTTCTGGCACCGACATGGTCCTCTCCCTGCGCATCTGATTGTGGTCCCCGATCTGCACCATTTGAGCATTCTGAATGATGAGGGGTTGGGGGCCTCCTGACCCCTGCATCACATTTTGGTGGCCCGACGGGAGGATGAGGTGCTGAGAAGGGGAGGGAGCCGGCTGGGGGTATGTGAACGGATTAGCTGGGTGAGGCTGGTGCAGAGAAGGGGAGGAAAACATTGGAAGAGAGGGAGTTTGGAGCTGGAGAAGCTGCTGCAGAAGGTGCTGAATTCCTGCAGGAGATGGCAGCAGTGTGGGCAAAAGCATTTGGGGGGGGTAGCCAGGCTGGGACCCCAAGGTCAGAGCCGCTAAGTTCTGTTGCAGCTGCTGGAAGTGTTCCCGGTATAGCTGCTGTTTCCTCCGCTGCTCCTGGACGTGCTGCATCTGGCACCACATCATCTTCTGCTCATTGATCTTCTTGAGTTTGAAGGTGTTCTTCACCGTCCTGGAGAACACAGGCGAGTTCTCATCCAGAGGCACTAGCCCCATCAGTATGCTGGGTATCTGAGACTTCTTCAAGGGGTACTCTTTGGGCACAAAAGGAATGACCGAGTTGTACTTGGGCAGCCGCTGGAGGGAGTCCATCAAAGCTGTGTTCATCTGGTGCATGCAGAGGCGGGACGCGAAGTTCTGGGTCAGCAGCAGGAGGGTAAAAGCGGAGTTGTCTATGGCGTCCTGGAAGCACGTTAGCTGGCACTGCCCAGGGACGAGGAACTCCTCGCAGAACGTGGCACCGTCGGGCACCCCCATGCTCTCCAGCATCTCCTTCACCCGGCAGGCGATGTCCACATCTTCCGTGGCGTGAACGACAACGAAACTGAAGAACCTTTTCTCGCCGCAGTCCAGCTCCGGGGCGGGGGCAGCTGCTGCCTGGGGAGGAGGGGGCGCCCTGGAGGAGGAGATGGATTCTGATTCTTCCTTCTCTGTGAGGACATAGGAATCCTCGATGGGCACTCGGGAGGCTCGGGAGGGGACTCTTGTCCTGGGGTTTGGAGCAGGCGCTGTCCTGACTCCGGCAGTCCTGCTGTCCCCATGGTGGGAGGGTCAGTGCATTCCACGGGACAGTGCTCCGCACTCACAAGGCGAATGGGAGTTTCGGAAACTGGAAGAGATGGAGGAACAAAGCCACCAGTCTGGGGCGCCTCAGATCGGTGGCTGCGCAGGGGAGCTGCAGCGGAGCAGCTGAGCCGGCTGGCGTCCCGAGGGCCGTGGCTGAGTCTCTCCTGGCCAGACTGCAGGGTGCTGCTCACGGCACCCCCACAAAGCCGGCTGGGCTGTGGGACGCGGTTGCAGTGAGCCGAGCGGGTGTGGAACTCCATGGTGGGGGACTGGCTGATCTCAAAGTGGCTGATGAAGGAGGCCGGGCTGCCAGAAGAACGCAACGTCTGTGGCCCTGAGAGAACCGATCGGTTCCCAATCTGGACTGGGGGGCTCCTCCCGTGTGGAGCAGGGTTGGGAGTCGGGAAATGCCCAGGGTCGGACCTCAGGGTCTTAAATTCATGGTCAGTCTCTGTGGAACTGAAGTCAGCCCCGCACTTTGCATAGGCCTCGGCCAAGATGCTACCCAGCCTGTCTCTCCCAAGAGCCTCGCTGGCTCTGAAGGCCTCAATGGCAGCCTTGTAGGCATCATCTCTGCACTGGGGATTGCACTGCTTTTCTTCCACCAGCAGCGCGTAGACCCGTGCCAGGGCCAGCCGGGCTCCCGCCTCCTGCTGGGGGCTCAGCGGGTTCTTGCTGCTGCCGGTACCCCATTTGCACCTGCAGAGACAGAGGGCTCCTTCGTCGTCACCCAGAGCGTCCAGGCATATCCTTGCCTCTGCCTCTCGCCGCAGAGTCCATGGCCTGCAATAGCTTACAGCTGCTTGTGGCCGATCTCATGTGCTTCAGCTTGTGTTTGAGAGTAACGAGCCTTTCCTCCGGGATCTTCGATAAAACGCTGAAGACGCCTTCAAATCCTGCCTGGGCCTCGGCCATCTCTTCAGCTGGCTAGCCAGACCGCGTGCTGAAGAAGCAGGTGATGACAAGCGCATAGTACAGCCTCCGGATGCCGGCATGGACTGTAGGCCTTTCTGCGTCCTGGAAAGCACCTCCCGTGCTTTGGGTGCTACATAATCACTCCTCTTGTGCTCAGGGGCTCGTCTCCCCAATACTCTCAGGGCCAGGGGGCAATGCAGCCATCCTAGGACTCCACGGAGCTCACCAGCGGGCCCTGCGATAAAACAGAGCGGGAAGTTACCGGAACGTGCCAGGCAGAGTCTGGGTGCTCCATGTTAGGTTTGCCCAAGGTCCCTGCACCGTTGGCATCATGGGTTCTCCAATGTTTGTACTGGTGACCCCTGTCACACAGCAAGCCGCTGAGCGCGACTCCCTTCAAACACTGCCATAAATCTTGCAGGTGAAGCAGGGCGTGAGGGCAGAGGCTGACAGCTTGTGACCCCCCCAATAGCCTCATAAACCCACTTTGAAAACCCCTGTGCTACACCTGGCTTCTAAAGGAATGTCACTCCTCTTTCGGCCCACGTATTTTGGGATCATGCACCTTTACTGCCTACTGTATTGCAAGTGCACCGCTCAGCAACCGACAGCTCTGAATGCGTACTGGGCACGCGGAGAGGCACCCTTTAAAATAATCAGTGCAAAGTCGCTGACTTACTAGCAGGTGCACCCAGCGTTCCTCAGGTCTCTAAGTTACGGGTTTGTGTGGAAAACGTGCACGCTTTAGTGAAATGTCCATTTTTCAACAATGAAGGAAAAAAAGAAGTTTGCATCAGAAAAGAAGGAAAGTGATTCACACAATAGCTAGAGTTTGCTAGTAGATGATATTTGCAGTTTATCCGTCTTTTGCTAGAATAAAAAGGCAGCAGGGGTCCAGGAGAGAGGGCAGGGGGCTGGGAGGACTGGGGGGCTCAGAGCAGGGGTTGGAGGATACTGGAATGAGGGCAGGGAATGGGGGGCTGAAGGAGCAGG